CTTCTTTAGTCTTGAACTTTTTTAAAAAGAGTGGCACTAATATTCCTGGAACCCCCTGGCCGCTAGATCTACGCTCATGCGTTTTCAGCGCATGCTTCCAATTAAGAACGATGATTAACTATGCATTTTAGGTTAAAATAACTTTGGCAGGTAACATATACCAAATACAACTCTACATTTTAAATCTACGTTTTTAAATCTACGTTTTATTTACAAACCATTTCAAATCTTAACATGTGTTTATAACCCTAAACTACGACATTTTTATACTACTATTCAGGAGAAAAGGGTAAAAGTATAAGAATACGAACTATTGGCAACAGGGGGAGGAGGGAGTAGATATTTTAAATTTTTGGCATACGTTCTTTACGAACAACCCCTAAGTTAGAGTAGTTTATGTAATTTTTAGATCAGAGAATGAGAATGCCACTTTGTTGTACTAATATCTTGAAGAATTTATAAAGACTATGTTTAAAGCTTGTATAGAAATCATCTATTTCATCCACACCAGTAACTTTGTTTCTTTTAAGATTATATTTAAAGGAGGAATATGGAATACCATTTACATTTCTAATCCGCAACATAGCTCTTCAGAAATACATTTTTCAGAAAAGAAGTTCTGATACTGATTACATACTGATACTGGCTTCCGTAACACACAAATTCATAATTTCTCCATCTAGTAACCAAAAGATTACCATAAAGCTAGATTAATAAGACTGACTGGAATAATAATGACCCATGGAATGGACTGGACTGAAATGATAATAACCCATGGGATTTTAGAAACATTTTGTGAATGGCTTGATCAATTTTGAGAACATTTAAAATGGTTTAAAGCAAATTTAACTCTTTTTTAAATAAAAAAACTGTAGTTTTAAAAAAAGTAACCAAAAAAAATGTGTAAAATGTATGTAAATGTATTTGCACGTAAAAGTAACTAAAAAATATAATTGCACGTAAAAGTAAGGAAACGCACAGTGGGCAAGAAATCACTTTTACTGGACAAAACAAATAACTCGTCATATAAAAAAGATTTAAAACTCATTTTTGCACTGTATACTAATTTGAGGACTAGGATTTTAATGTTGACATTATTGTTAACTTTGGGTTGCTATGGATACCTAAATTGCTTAGCAACCACAAATTATATTACCTTAACAAATAAAAAGTAGAAAAAGTAATAACTTTATTGGATTTCTCTCATAATTACAACATAGAGTATTTTAATACTGCAAATGTAGTGGTACGATGGTTACTAAGGATTTTTTATTTGGTTGATGGTGACATCTAAAATGCATGACGCTTCATTTTGCATAGTTACAAGCTTAAGTAACTTTTCTCCAAGCATCAATGTTATAACTAGAATAATATAAATATTTCCAGTTACTAGTTTTAAGTATTTTAAATAATTATTATAAAAGTATTATAAGTATATATATATTAGTATATAAGTATTATAAAACTCTTATTCTTCTAGTTTTTTTCCTCGAACATCAGTTCTTTGGAATTCGCTTCCTTCATCTTGCTTTCCTGATTCATATAATTTGCAATCTTTGAAGTCATCAGTCAATCGTCATCTTGCTCTACAGATTTAGTCTTTTCTCTTCCAGTAACTTCCAACTCTTATAGTGGTTGCTTGCAGCCTTGTTGGAAGTGAAGATGTTAAAAAAAAAAAAAAAAAAAAAAAAAAAATTTTTTATGCAGTTTCAAGGCTCTATTTTATATTTCATGAATCTACTACATAATCCATATAAAAAGAAACTGTGTTTTAACCTTTTTGTGTGCAGTACCGCAAAAACAACCATACTGCAAAAACCACAATGTTAGCTTAAGTGACCTAGGATGTAGAAAAAGATACAGGATTCAAAACACTTGATATATTGTCAGCTAATATGTCAGCCTATAAAATATAAAGCAATTTTAGTGGTTTCATTATTTGTTAAATACTTTGGTATTTGCACTAGAGTAAAAATTTCAATTATAAAAATGTGTAGTTTTGTTTTGTTTTGTAGGAGCCTAGAAGCCGTATCAAAGAATAAGTTAGGAAAATATAGTTTTTCTATTACCTATGGATTATAACAAGATACTGAAAAAAGTTTTTTTTTCTCAAGTAGTTATAAATCTTTCTTATAAAGAAAGGAAGTATTATTGTTGTTTTTGGGGTACATTTTATGGAATTCCATTTATAGACCATGTTTTGAAATAAAAAAAACAACAATAAATTGCCATTATATTTGATTTTTTATAAAGAAAATACTATATATTTATCTTAAAAATAGTATTTGAACACAGCAGTAATAACACAGACACCTAAAATTGCTGCAGATTTATAACATTATTATAACAATAGGTTACTACAACAATGTTAAGATAACATATATAATTAAAATAGTATTTTAACTGATTACTTTAATTCAAAAATAGATTATTGATTGTCGTTGCATTTGTTATAATGGTCGCATATCAGTCTTTTAAATGTGGAGAGGTGCTGGTTTGCTGCTAAAAGCATAATCAGTCTAACACCATCACCTCTGCGACTCACTTTACTGCAAATTGAACGGAGAACATCAAGACAATAAGGACATTGCTTAGGCCAAAAGCTTGACATTTCCTTTGTTTGAAAAAACATTCAACTTTACATTAAATAAATTTTCCTTTAGCTTCTTCTTATTTTTTTTTTTTGCTTCCTCCTTTGCTGTTATCTTTCGTCGTTTCTCTTCTTTTATATCTTTCACTTTTGCTGTAACATCTTTTGCAAGCATTGAACCATAGACCTGAGTAACACAAGTAGATTTTTTTCAGGATTTGGTTTGATTTTCTTAATAGTTAGCAGATCAAGAATATTTTCTAATTGGAGGCTTTGCTTAGCTGTTTCTCTAATCAAGATTTGAGACAGGTCAAACTTATCTTTCCAGTAACTTGCCAAACCTTTCATTTTACCAACTGGCGACGAAATGGTTGGTTCAGATTTTTTGAAAGAAGTTGACGCTGGTTTTTCTTTATGAATGCATGCTGCAGCTTGCTCAAATTTATCTTGTTGCATAAAGTCAACATTTAATTCAAAAGATGTTATTCCAACTCTTTTTGCAATAGAAACTACAACCGGTTTTGATGCCCATTTCTCCCTTATATTGCCTAATATGGTCATAAATCCCTCTCGATTAATTGATTGCATTGGGTTGAAAAGATATTTCTTGGCAATTCTGTATTCATGATAAAGATTTTTATTAACCTGGTCAAGCAACTGAGTTACACCAGTAGTGTCGGGAGAAGAAATAAATAAAAAAATTTGTTTTGAAAGGAGGTATATTAAACCATCGTAATAAAAAAACAGGTTGTTCTATTGCCTTCTCAGTAAGGTAATCATCAAATTCTTGGCACTGCCTTTTCTAATTGTAATTTTTTTGCATCTGTGAACTTTTTCCTAATTGATGCCTCAGGCTTATTTTTTCCACAAATAGGTTTTAATTTTTCCTGTCTGAAATTTTTGTTTCATTTTCTTTGTTATTTTTTTCTAACTCTATTTGATTAAAAAAAATTTTTGTTAAAAATTTTAGAGTACATTAGTCGCATACAGAAAATATCTAAATACTAAAAAACAATTTTCAAGTAAAAATTTAGATTTTGCTCTAGGTTCAAACACAAACTAAGTTTTAATAAATTCTTGCAATTATTATGTTCTAAAAATGTTATTAATTTTTGATACGTAAAAAACACAAAGCAAACTTTGTTTAAAACACGGCAATGACATCTTTAGAATCAAGAGGTTACATAGAATCAATATAGTGAAATGCGAGAACACATGTATATAGATTAAATTAGTAATAACTGGTTTTATTTAAAGCAGATCAAATAATATTAGCTAAATTTAAGCTTCATAGGTTCATTAGTTGCAGAGACACAATCGATAAATTGAATGCGGTTTTTGGGGTACACATACAAAAAACAACAAAAGTTCAGGAAACAATAAAACAAAACTATTTCTTAAAAATTGATCAAACTAGCTGGGAAGAACTGATTTTAAGCAGATCTAAACACATTCAATTTGAATGTGTTTAGAGTAGACTAGATTAGTGTTACAAACTTGTTTTATTAATTATATATTCTAAAAAACCTATTTATACAATTTTGTAAATAAAATTTACATATTATATATTTAAAACATGAAAAGTATTGATATTTATTCATATATACACAGCAAAATCCAAGATTCTAGGTTAAGAACGTTTGTTCTTATTTTAAGAACTTTTGTTCATAGTTTAAGAACTTGATTCTTATTTTAAAAACCTGATTCTTATTTTAAGAACCTGATTCTTATTTTAAGAACTTGATTCTTATTTTAAGAACCTGATTCTTTTTTAAGAACTTGATTCTTATTTTAAGAACCTGATTCTTTTTTAAGAACTTGATTCTTATTTAGATTTCCTTTCTTATTTAAAGGTATTTAAATAAAAAACATTGTTTCTAATTTTATAATATTGTAACATTTGTATATAATATGTATATATATATAAGAATGTTTGTATATATATATATATATATATATATATATATATATATATTATATATATAATATATATATATATATATATATATATATATATATATATATATATATATATATATATATATATATATATATATATATATATATATATATATATATATATATATATATATATATATATATATATATATATATATATATATATATATGAAAATCCTCCCCACCTTCTGATAGACCTTGTGTTCATGATTTTATATAATCAAATAGTCTAATCCATTTGATCGCCATTAAGACTAAAATACAAACCAGAAAGAGTTGTATACTACAAGAATTTTATAGAACTCGTCTTTCATAAATGACATATTCATATCTTTTTTTCTTTTGTTATTTAGGTACCCCAAGAAGACCTAACGGTCTTGTCACAGAGCACTACGGAATTGCATTTAACCAGGAAGTTCACGCTTCCTTCCTTACCGTGACGCAAAAATAT